AATAAAACAAATAAAACATTTGAAAGGGAACAACCAAGGCTGCTGCTGCACTGGAGGGTTAATGCAATTTGGCACTGCTTTAGCATCCTATGGAATCCTGGGATTTGTAGTTTTGTGAGTCACTAGATCTCTCTGAGAGAGAAGAGAGCTAAACTACTGGGCCGCATCCACACTGCAGAAATAACCCAGTTTGACGCCACTTTAACTACCACGGCTCAATGCTCTGGGATTCTGAGATTTGCAGTTTTGTGAGACTTTTGGCCTGCTATGGTGTGGTCCCACAACAAGCTACAGTTCCCAGGATTCCATAGCATTGAGCCATAGCAGTTAAAGTGGTGTCAAACTGGATGATTTTTGCAGTGCGGATGCAGCCTCCGTGCACTTCTGGTCCCTGGGTTGCGTTAAGAAGCAACCACATGCGGACATTCCCTCTTATACACACCCATTAAGTGTACAGGAGCCATCTCCGCTATTCCATTTTGGCAACCCTAGTCATGGAAGCGAAATCTAGGAAATGGGCTCAGCAATTTTGCAAGCTTTTAAATGTGCAAATACACTCCTGGGGTCCATTCACACTACAGAATTATGGTGCTGTGATTCCAATTTAAACTGCAGTGGTTGCTTCCTAGGCAGTTCTGGGGCTTGCAAAGTTTGGAGAGGCAATTGGAATTCCGAATAAATGTAATAATTCCAAATAAATCCCAGGATTCCAAAGTGGAATATTTATGGTATAATTTTGCAGTGTGGAAGGGCCTCTGTTCATCATCTGGGGATGCCAAATATCCTGCAAATCCCAGTATTCCAGTATTCCAAAGTGAAATAATTCTGTGGATTCCATAGAATGGAGCCGTGGCAGTAAAAGTGGAATAGTAGTGGTATAATTCTGCAGTGCGGTCACCACCGAAGCCGGGGAGAGATACTGCTTTCTGGGGCTGCATCCGCACTGCAGAAATAATCCAGTTTGATACCACTTTAACTGCCATGGCTCAATGCCATGGATTAGTGGGAACTGTCAGAGCTCTCTGACACAGAAGGCTAAATGTCTGACAAAACTACCATCCCCAGAACTCCATAACATGGAGCCATGGCAGTTAAAGTGGCGTCAAACTGGATTATTTCTGCAGTGCGGATGCAGCCTGGGATGCAGACCGAGGATGCTCTGATGGGGATTAGTTTGGTTCACGATGGTTAACTTCCCAAATACTAATTTCCATCTAGTAGTGCCATTGCATGACCTGTGATTTGCTCCAGACCCAAATATCTAGGGCAGGGCTGTGGTTATTTGGTTGGTTTTAGTGATGGAAGCAGATGGAACATTTTCCCTCTTGCACACACTCAAAACCACCTGCTGCTCTTTTTCCCTCCCCGCGGAGTATTTTTTTTCCATTTTTAAAAAATGCATCCTTTTCATAAAAAATTAATTAGTCCTGTAATGGATACAATCCCAGCCAAATTGGGGCATTTTCAGCATTGCAATTGACTTTTTTCCCCAACATCTCTTTCCAGCGATGCATGCAGATGTAATAATTCTTGCAGCGCAGTCCAATCCATGTCTAATCAGAAGAAGCGTTGGGAATAATATTTGAAAATATTTAAAAATGGTGAAAATAAATATATCTTATGATTCTTGCTTGGGTGCTAAGTAATCCTGATGAGAAGAATCCTGAACAGATGAAAATCTTCATGGTTCAGGACTTATTTTTTTACAATTTTTTTTAACAGAAATCAGCATTTTTTGTGCAGACAATAAAATTATCCTACCTTAGATTTCGCTCAGAGAAGGCTTATTTTTCTGCACAAGTTGTAGTTGCACACTTACTCTGTGCAAGATTTACACAGAAAGCAGGATTTTCTGTGCAGGTAACAGCTTTTTCTGCAGAAATATTATTTTTCTGCAAATAAGCCATTTCCTGCACAAAAATGCCAATTTCCGTGAAAAAAATACCACCTCTGATGGCACACAGAAAGTAGGATTTTAATTGATTTTAATATGATTTTAATTGTTTTTACATTTTTATTGTGACGTTTTAGTAATGTTTTCATCTTGTGAGCCGCCTTGGGTCCCTTTTTGGGAGAACGGTGGCACAGAAGTTAAATAAATAAATAAATAAATAAATAAATAAATAAATAAATAAAATTTTCTTTGCAGGCAACAGCATTTTCTGCAGAAATATTGTTTTCTGCAAAGATGCCATTTCCTGCATAAAAATGCTGTGGATTTTGCACAGAATTGAGTCTCAAACTGCGAATAGTCTTTGAAAACTGCAGTTTGCTAAAGTGACACATTGCTTCTTCCTTTGAGAAGAAAATCAGCAAAGAATCACATCCTTACTCCAAAGTCCCATAAAATTCAGTGGTGCTGAGATTTTATATGTATTTTATCACAGTGAAATGGAACTAAAATAGGTTTTGAAGCCTTCGTTTTCTTCCGAGAACGTAAACAATATCAGGACGTATGTGATGCTGTGATGCCATTCTTAAAATATTCACAACTATTCCATTAAAAAATATAATTTCCAAGTTGGTTGGGATGTAGTTTTTAAATCACAGTAAGCAAGCTTTGCATATAGAGAGTTTTCCATATAATCAGATGTCAGTTAAGATATTTCAAAGAAAAATCCATCAGTGATACCTTTATTGGCCAACCCAAATGCACAATATACTTGTTGTAAGCTTTCGAAGCTCCACTGGCTTCTTCATCATCAGGCAAGACTTTACAAACCAAACAAGAGAAAAACCATTGGAGATGTTGTTCCAGTCTTTAGTTAAGATGGTAGTATATGGTGGGGAGGATATCTTTTGCAGGCCTGTAGAGATCTATACATGAGATATATATATATATATATATATATATATATATATATATATACACACAGTATATTTATAAACATGCTGAAATGTAATTTAGACATGCTTCTGGTGAATGTTCTGATGTTAAGAGCTGTTGGATATTGGAAAATGCTGCCTTGGAGGTTGGTGGAGGCTCCTTCTTTGGAGGTTTTTAAACAGAGGTTGGATGTCCATCTGTCCCAGGGATGGCTTTGATGGTGTCTTCCTCCATGGCAGAATGGGGTTGGACTGGATGGCCTTTGGGGTCCCTTCCAACTCTAGGATCCTATGTCTTCCTACATGTCAGAAGGAGATTGGACTGGATGGCCTTTGGGGGTCTCTTCCAACTGTGGGATCCTGTGTATTCCTTCATAGCAGAATGGGGTTGGACTGGATGGCCCTTGGTGGTCCCTTCCAA